GTCAATCCATATCTGCCAAGTGACCCTATGTAGGGGGAACAGTCTCTATTCTGCTCTGTGTCAGTGTGTATCATGGTCTCTGAGGACAGGTGTCAATCCATATCTGCCAAGTGACCCTATGTAGGGGGAACAGTCTCTATTCTGCTCTGTGTCAGTGTGTATCATGGTCTCTGAGGACAGGTGTCAATCCATATCTGCCAAGTGACCCTATGTAGGGGGAACAGTCTCTATTCTGCTCCGTGTCAGTGTGTATCATGGTCTCTGAGGACAGGTGTCATTCCATATCTGCCAAGTGACCCAATGTAGGGGGAACAGTCCCTATTCTGCTCTGTGTCAGTGTGTATCAGGGATCCTTAGGACAGGTGTCAATCCATATCTGCCAAGTGACCCTATGTAGGGGACCAGTCTCTATTCTGCTCTGTGTCCGTGTGCATCAGGGGCTCTGAGGACAGGTGTCAATCCATATGTCAGGTGTCAATATGTCATATGTCAGGTGTCAATCCATATTGATTGTGATTTAGGAATGTTAGGTGATTTCTGCCCTTTATGGATTAAAACCAGACTCTGTATCAACTGTGTAATTTTCCATGGGAATTTTGCCATGGATCCCCCTCCGGCATGCCACAGTCCAGGTGTTAGTCCCCTTGAAACAACTTTTCCATCACTATTGTGGCCAGAAAGAGTCCCTGTGTGTTTTAAAATTCGCCTGCCCATTGAAGTCTATGGCGGTTCGTGCAGTTCGCCGGTTCGCGAACATTTGCGGAAGTTCGTGTTCGCCGTTCGCGAACCGAAAATTTCGGGTTCGCGACATCACTACTCATCTACAAAAGCGAATAAAAAAAATTGCTAAATAGAGTCAAAATGTTGTCCTGAGTTTTAAAATACCCAGTGTTTACATGCTTTTTTTGCTTTTTTTTTTGCAAGTTATAGGGCTATAGGTACAAGTAGGATATTGCGGTTTCAAAACATACATTTTTTTCAAATTTATCAATAGTGACATTGTAACACTATCTGTCATAAATCTTGGAAAAACACCCCACATGTACATATTTTTTTTTAAAGTAGACAACCTAAGGTATTCAATATGGGTATGTCCAGTCTTTTTTAGTAGTCACTTAGTCGCAAACACTGGCCAAAGTTAGCGTTCATATTTGTTTGTGTGTGAAAAAAGTAAAAAACTAAATTGAACACTAATGTTGGCCAGTGTTTGTGACTAAGTGGCAACATAACCAACCTGGCCATTTTCAATGTAAAAATATTTGACCCATATATTTGACCCTGTAACTTTCAAAAACTCTATCAAATCTGTACATGTGGGTACTGTTATACTCGGGAGACTTTGCTGAACACAAATATTAGTGTTTCAAAACAGGAAAACGTATCACAACAATTATATAATCAGTAAAAGTGCAGTTTGTGCGAAAAAAGTCCCTTTCACTGACAATATCATCGCTGTGATATGTTTTACTGTTTTGAATCACTAATATTTGTGTTCAGCGAAGTCTCCCAAGTAAAACGGTACCCCGCATGTACAGGTTTTAGGGTGTCATAGAAAGTTACAGGGTAAAATACAGTGCTAGCAAATTAAATTCTCTGGACTTTCGGCCTGGGTTGGCAGGCAGGTCCCTCAAATTGCAATTAATAAAATTACTTAATTATGTAAAAATATTACATAAGTGCGCACATAGAATTTAAATATATATGCATATTTATATATTTGAAGTTTACATGTATATTTATATAATTATTTATGTAATTTTGTAAATGGACAAATGTATATTTCGTATTATTTTTACTTATTTATATATACATATAAATATATATATATATATATATATATATATATATATACACACAATTTCATTCTAAGTGTATTTTGATATAAATATATTTTAAAATCAAAATACAGTTAGAATAAAATTTCATATAGATATATAATTTTTTTTAATTATTTGTAAAAAAAAATTCTTTAATTTACTTATTTGTATTTTATAATTATATATATATATATATATATATATATATATATATACACAATATATATAGTTATTATATATATATATATATTATATGTGTTTAATTATATATAAGTGTATTTTTATATTAATATAAGTAAATATTAATATAAAAATACACTTAGTATGACATTATATATATGATATATAGACATATATTATATATCATTATTTTTTTATTTATTCACATTAACAGTTATTTTTTTATTTTACACTAGCAGGGAGACTGCCTGTCAGCACAGGCAATCCCCCTGGAGGCAGACACATGGACACCTATTGTGACCATGTGATCGCTCTGTTAAGCGATCACATGGCCACCGGGGTCCTAATCCACCATGGGGAGACTGTTTTGGCTGCAGGCAGTCTCCCAACACTGGGAGCACCGACGATCACCACTGGGGGAACCACGGCGATCAGGTAAGTACATAAGACCGTTAGGACGGTTCAGGACCGGCAACACAAAAATGCAGATGACGGTCCTGATCCGTCCTAGGTCATTAAGGGGTTAAGCAATGTTCTTGTTCCAATATTTGAGCCAATGTCCAGCTCAAACTTTTTCATGAATTAATACTTGATGCACATGTTTTTCAAATTGTGATAGAAGCTATTTTTTTTCTAGTAAGTATTAATGTACAATGGTTGTTAGTCTATACTAATTAAAGTAGTATTTTTCCCATATAAGTTAAATGGAGTTTCTTTCTACATGACTTTCACATTACCTCCAGTGTCATAAATGAACTCCATAACACTAGGCCCCAGTATCTCCAGTATTTTAACATATAGAAATGTCCTTTCTCCTTTCTTTGTTCACGCTTTTCATTCTGAATCAAGATAATGTTAATTAACTGACCTAAATACATTATCACCAAGTTTTTATGAGACTGATAAGATCAAACCATTTATCACTTGCCTGTAACTTCAAGTCCCCAACTTCTCTGAGATTTGATAACAGATATTTCAGATCTATAATACTTTCCACCTATTTACCACAATAAAAAAAATATTGAGTTTTCATTTTTATAACTCCCTTAACCCCTTAAATCCGGAGGGCGTACTATTACGCCCGGCAGGAGCTGGCTCTAAACACCGGCGGGCGTAATAGTACGCCCTCACTATAATGGCCGCCCATGTGGCTGGCGCTAATCGCCTGCTTCAGATCACGGTCGGGGGGGATGCCTGGCCGGTGACCGCGATCTGCAGTCTCTGATCGCAGTGACAGGCTGTCACTGCGATCAGTATTTACCATGTGTCAGGCGATTTCAAATCGGCTGACACACGTGGCCGGCGGCTTTCCCCTGTGCAGAGCACTCTGATTGCAGTGACAGCCTGATACATGTAACAGGCACCATGATCTCCCTGCAGATCGGTAGGGGGATTGCTTGTACCACCCAGGCACTCCCCCACCCAATCTGCAGTAAGTGATCACAGTGACAGCCAGTCACTGTGATCACTATTACTATGTGTCAGCCAATGACCTCAGATCACTTCGATCTGAGAGAGAGAGGCAGAGACATTGTTGGTTTTACAGCTCCTGTGAAAAGAAAAAAGTTTTATTACTTTATTAAAGTTTAAAATTTTTTATTTTATTAAACCCTTTCAGTGCTGATCACAGCTTATTACTGTCATCAGCCTGACTAGGGTATCTAGTACTTTTGTACTTTATTTAAAAAATTTTGGGGGGGTCAAAAAAAATAATTTCCCTTTTTTTTTTTTTTACCCTTTGTGTCAGTTGCAGCAACTAGGTAGGTAGTTAATTAATTAGCCCCTTTCACTTAATTATTTTTTCCCCCTAGAATGGCACGTCGCTACTCAGCAGGGTATGCCGTTCTGGCAGGCAGTGATAGTGACACTCTGCAAGACAGTGACACTATCACTGCCTCTGACATTGAGCCTCTGAGTGAGACCTCAAGTGATGGTGCCCCACCACCACTCACAAGAGGACGCTCAGAATGCCCAATGCCAGAGGGAGATTGGGTGCCTTCAAACATGATGGCACCAGAAATACCGCCGTTCACTGTTACACCTGGCATCCCTGTAACCATGTACGACTGCGAGCCAATTTGTTTTTTTTAGCTCTTTATGTAAATTTGTTTGCTATGCAATATCTCTGCACATCCGGGGTCCCATCATAATCGCAGGAATATGTGGAGACCCACGGATGTTGCAGAGATGAAGCAGTTTTGGGCTTTAACCCTAGTGATGGGTGTAACGTCACCCCCAGGCATAAAATGGGTTAACAGCCGTTTAGTAGATCTTCCCCTTCCAGAAACACAGGCAGCTACTGTAGACACTAATCCACCGAACCGGAGAAGCATATGAATGCTCTCAAACATACGAATGCTGTAAACAGCCGAATAGGAAAAACCATACGAATAGGTTTACACTCCTAGCAGTCGAACTGGAACAGCATACAATAAATCCCCCCAAGAACGAGGCAAGGCTCCGTTTTGAGGGTCAAGCAGGAACAGACAGAGCTGTGGGTTTATTGTTCTTATGTACGCATTCTTACACATTAGTACCACCCACAGGGTTTTGGAAAACAACCAATAAACATGTACAATACACTCAGACACTCCCACACAAAATCCTCCCCTCTGCCTGTGATACAATTACTTTACACAATGAGTAATGTAATTATCACAGCCAGAGAAATACAGTTTGTCCACATTATTCATAACTTGAAAAGTATGCATCACATTCACATAAAACTTACATTTTCAGCATACTCCAAATACAAACATATGTCAAAATCATCCTAATTGGTCCATTGGTTCAAAAGATAGATCGAAGTACTTTGTAACCAAATGAAGCATGGCTTTTCTGCCCAAAACCAGTTCCACAGAGTCTTCTATTCTGGAGATAATTGGGAAGTAATCCAATTATCTCCAAGGACAGAGGCAAAACTTCATTGAACACATGGCAGCAAAAGACAATAAAACACATAAAAATATATAACTGTGCAGCCATTGCACAAAACAGGTACATTCAACATATCCCCAGATAGCTCAGATCTGAGCGCACATTATTACTGAATGACGCTTAGAGGACACACATACAGTTCAATTGCCATGGAGCCAAAGTCTTTCCCATAGTCTTTCATTATACGAATGGGCTCCATGGCATAGCTATCACCGCTCAAACAGGGCAATCACTGAATGACCCAGCTTTCGTGTCTTCGCAGGGGAGAATCAAGCGTTTCAACATGGGGCCATAGTCTAAAGGCAGCAGGCTGCAACCAGGCTCCTCCAATGCACAGTGGCAAGATTGATCTCGTCACATCGGGTATAGTTAAAAAGCCCATTATCAGGTCCTACTGGAGCAAGCTACGCATCCTGGCTAGCCGTGCCCTTTCCTAGACTTCACTCTAAGCCTTTTGTCCATTTATTATTTACTCAGCCCCCCAATCCCACTTTGGGATCAGAAGATCTCCAAAGACATTGTGGCAAACACTTCCCTTCCCGAATCCCTGCCACCGCCAGTAAAAGAAATTCCCCCAAAAAGTGCCGTATTTGCTACAAGAAAGGAGTCCAAAAGGACTCTAATTCTTATTGCCCAACTTGCCCATCTCAATCCGGCCTCTGCATAACAGACTGTTTCAAAGTCTACCATACAGAGCTGAACTTCTAAATCACTCTGTATGGGACCTTGGCAGTTTGTTTGCTTGATTTCCCTGGATTACTGACCTTGGCTTGTCCTGACTACGCTTTGTTAGCAGCCTGTACCGACCCATTGGCTTGTTTTACCGACTACTCTAACTTCTGACCTTTCCCCTGACCTTGGCCTGTCCCTGTTTACGCTAGCCATTCTAAAGTGGCTACACCAAACAACTCCTCAAAATACTACATTTGTAGTATTTGAAATGTGCCTTCACAAAAAAAAAGCAAAAAACTAATCACAGGGTTAATGCTGCGATTAGCACTGAAAGGGTAAATAAAATAACAATGTTTTTTTCTTAACTTCTCAGCTTTTCTCACAGTGAAAAAAATCAAAAATCTCTCTGCCTCTCTCTGCCTCCAGATCAAAGTATATGTAGAGGTACTGTTTTATTCCTGTGCTATAATAAAAACCTTGAAACATTGTACATGTGGGTACTGTTCTATTCAGAAGACCGTGTTAAATCAAAATACTAATCTTTTAGTGCACTAACTAATACCAGGATTATGACATTTCTAGTGAAAATGCAATTTATGTGATTAAAAAAACAAAACTAAAAGTAGATATTGCTACATGGGCCCAGCATTTCTGTTAAAATGGCTAGACCAAACATCTCAAGGTCTGCATTTTGTTGTACTCTGGGTTGCCTACTTTTGAAAATGGTATGCCATAACGGTGCAAATCTTATTACCCAGGCTGCCATGCTCTCTGAATAGCCACATAGGCCCAGAAAATCACTTTGCCAAACTTACAAGCTAAAAGGGCATGTAATATATTTCACCCTGTACTTATCGGAAAAAAATCTGAAATAATGATACGTGGGGGTACCGTTATATTAAGAAGACAATGTTAAATCAAAATACTGAGGTTTTAGTGCACTAACTAATACCAGGATTATGACATATCTAGTGAAAATGCAATTTATGTGATTAAAAAGACAAAACTAAAAGTAGTTATCGCTATGTGGGCCCAGCATTTCTGTTAAAATGGCTAGACCAAACATCTCAAGGTCTGCATTTTGTTGTACTCTGGGTTGACTACTTTTGAAAATGGTATGCCATAACGGTGCAAATCTTATTACCCAGGTTGCCATGCTCTCTGAATAGCCACATAGGCCCAGAAAATCACTTTGCCAAATTTCCAACTTTGAAATCTAATATTTTGTCCCTGTGACTACCTGTTATGTCACAAGTTGAATAATTGTGGAACTCAACTGCAGATTTGAAATTTCCTTGTTTCTAATTAAATGAAAATCCTTTAATTATGAAAGTTACTGTAGCTTTAAGGCTGCTTGGATTTTGCAGGTTGTTGGTGGAAAGCATAAAACAATAGCAATAGTAACAGAGATGTTGATAAAAGTGTTTTAGTAGCAGAGTTTTTTTTAGTAAGCAGGTTACAGTTCATTAGTAATGCAAAAAGCCAGAGAAGATTTTGAAATGAATACTTAGGATTGTTGGGAGTTGTCTTCCAAAGGCAGGTTAGTTTGAGCCTGGAGGTTGGTTAAACTTCTAACAGTCCGGTTCTTGGAAATTGGAGAGAGCAGTGAAGTCAAATATTCGGTCCGTAGTCAGAGGAGATGAGAAGGCAGGAATCCGTTTAAACAGTCCAAGGTTCGATACACAAAACTTATCGAAGAAGAGCTTAGCCGGCAATGTGATTGCGGAAGTCACAAACAGAAATCACTAAGCAATTTTGAAACTTGCACGGTTTCTCTATAAAGCTTGAGAGAGCCGCGTCAGAAAGGGGACGGTTCCGCATCCTGGAAATGTCAGAACGGAGCTGATCTAAAAGATAAGCCCTGACACTACCCCACCAAAAAACAGAAAATCTGGTACATGGGGGTACTATTATATTCAGGAGACAATATTAAAAAAAAAAAATAGTGAGGCTTTGTTGCAAATACTCATATCAGGAATATGAAATGTCCTGTGAAAAGTGAGTACATGTGTGTGAAAAAGCAAAAATAAAATAACCACTATGTGGACCCTTTGTAACGAGAATATACCCCTACACGCAGGATCCAGCTAAACAGAAGCCAATACAGAGGAGAGATACGTCTACCGGACCTTAGAATGGCCGGACTCGACGTATATGAGAGGAAACAGAGCCAGGAACAAACCGAGGTCAAGGGCACAGAGACAGCGTAAACTAGGACAAGCCGGGGTCTGGTACACGGAAAACAGCAAGCCGGCAAACAGTACAGATAAGGATAAAGCGAAAACGAAGTCAGAATACAAAGCCAAAGTCAATACGAGAAAACACAACTGAACACCACAAGCGCTAAAGGAACTGAAACAGAAACCACGATAGGGCAACGAGCTAAGGGAAAAAGGTAAGTTTAAATAGCTTTTAAACGAAAGTGATTGGCTCCTGTCACTTCCACACCCCCAAAAGGTAATTGTATAGGGGGTGTGGTATGACAGGAGCCAATGGGAGCCTTTTGGCAATTAGGCTCCCACTGTCTCTTTAAGAGCGCGCCCGAGACTCGCGGCGCGCTCTTAGCTTCACGCGGTCACTGCCCGCCTTCCATCTAAAGCAGTCGGATGAGCCGCGCGCGGCTCGTGCAGCCGCAGGACCGCGCGTGGCTTGAAGAGAGGACCGCGACCGGCCCCCGGTTAAGGTAAGTAACGCTACACCCTTCATTTCTGATAAAGTGGTTAGACCAAACATCTCAAATTATGCCATTTGTTATACTCTGTGTTGCCTACTTTTGAAAATGGTATGCCATAATAGTGGAAATATTATTACCCAGGCTGCCATGGTCTCTCAAAGGCGAGATAGGCCCAGAAAATCACTTTGCCAAATTTCCAACTTTGAAATGGACATCTCATATATTTGTCCTTGCGACTTCCCCAAAAAACAGAAAATCTGGTACATGGGGGTACTGTTATATTCAGGAGACAATGTTAAAAAAAAAATAATGAGACTTTGTTGCAATAACTCATACCAGGAATAGGAAATGTCCTGTGAAAAGTGAGTACTTGTGTGTGAAAAAGCACAAATAAAATAACCACTACGTGGGCCCTTCATTTCTGATAAAGTGGTTAGACGAAACATCTCAAATTATGACATTTGTTATACTCTGGGTTGCCTACTTTTGAAAATGGTATGCCATAATAGTGAAAATAACTTTACCCAGGCTGCCATGCTCTCTCAAAGGCAAGATAGGCCCAGAAAATTGCTCTGCCAATTTTCAATGTCTAAAACCAAAAATGGACATTCGTATATTTGACCTTGTAACTTTCCAAAACCCCATAAAACCTGTTCATGGGGTTACCGTGGCGCTTGTGAGACATCACTGAACAGAACTAGGAGTGTTTCAGGGCAGTAAACTACATATTGACAATAAAATTATCAGTAAAATTACAGTTTTTATGTGAAAAATGCAAAAAAAAAACCACAAACACTAAATTTGGCTAGGGTTTGTGCTCAAGTGGCTACTACAAAAGACTGGGCATACCCCATTTTGAATACCCTGGGATGTCTACTTTTTCAAATGGTATGCCATGATGGGGCTAAATTTGATTTTGTGGCCGCCATACGATCTCAAAGGCGGCCTTGCTACAGCAGACTAATCTGACAAATTTGAATGTGAAAAAAACATATATGGATAAGCCTCATATATGACCCTGTAACTTTCAAAAACCCCATAAAACCTAGACATGGGGGGTACTGTGGCACTCGTGAGACATCACTGAACAGAACTAGGCATGTTTCAGGGCAGTACCCTACATACTGACAATAAAATTATCAGTAAAATTACAGTTTGTATGTGAAAAATACAAAAAAAAACACAAACACTAACTTTGGCTAGGGTTTGTGCTCAACTGGCTACTACAAAAGACTGGGCATACCCCATTTTGAATACCCTGGGCTGTCTACCTTTTCAAATGGTATGCCATGATGTAATCGTTTATTTTTTGGCTGCCATACAGTCTCAAAGGCAACCTAGGCCCAGCAAACCAATCTGTCAAATGTATATGTAAAAAAAAAAATAATGGACAAGCCGTATATTTGACCCTGTAATTTTCCAAAACTCTGTAAAACCTATACATGAGGGTTACTGTTTTACTCGTGAGACATTTCTGAATACAAATATGTATGTTTTATTGCAGTAAAATCAAACCGTATTGTGACATTAACAGTTAAATCGACATGCAGACATTGAAAAATTTCTTAATTGTTTTATTCATATAAAATGGAGTTCCATATAGGAATGTTTGATATGGAATGAAAGCCCTGTTTCCCCTGAACAAATTGATATACAATTTGATATACAAGAGCTGCGCGCACATTCAGCCGGTCATATAGGAAAGCATTCATAATGCTTTCCTATGGACGCTGGCGTGCTCTCACTGTGAAAATCACAGTGAGAAGCACGCAAGCGCCTCTAGTGGCTGTCAATGAGACAGCCACTAGAGGAAATAGGGGAAGGCTTAGCCCATTCATAAACATAGCAGTTTCTCTGAAACTGCTATGTTTATGAAAAAATGGGTTAACCCTAGCTGGACCTGGCACCCAGACGACTTCATTAAGCTGAAGTGGTCT